TGGAAAAAAAAACCTGTCATGCTAGATATCTCGAAAACCGTCAATATTTTCGAAGTGCAGATATACATAAAGTTTATTTTATTTTCTATGAAGAAACCGAAAAAGCGATAAAAAATATAGGTTGCCATTTAAAAAGACACAGTTGGGATCCGCCCAGAAAAAATCGAACACCCTGTGTGACCGCCAATATTTTTATTTTGTCGAGCTCGAGCAATAAGGTAATATTATAGAAAATTTGATTTCTATCTGCTTCCTATATAGAGATATGGAACACCGCGCCACTGTTGCAGGACCCTGTATATAGATATATGTATAATCTAGAGGGCTATCAACTGTTGTATAGTGGAGGAGACTATAATAGGAACGATGGAGTCATCATGTATGTAAAAAATGAAATTAAGTACGTTCAAAAAATCATAAATATCACTGAATGCAGAACAATACATACCGAATTGAATATTGAAAATAATTCTACCTTTATAACGGCATTATATAGGTCTCTTCCAACAAATTCAGGAGATTTTGTTACACACAATCAAGAATATTTAGAGAACACGAAAAATTATAATTCGAAAAATCACATTATTATGGGAGATATGAATTCGTATATAAACAAAGGAACAGAAATAGTTTTCAATCACCTAAATAACATGAGCGAATATAACTTTATCTCTATGATTACCAAAAATACAAGAATACAAGGTGACTCAAAAACATTCATCCACTACATATTTTTAAGATCACGTAAATCTGTACTCGATACATGTATCTCTGGAGTTTTATGACACTGGCATAACAAATCATGAAAGTACCATATTAGGAATACCGAATGAAAACAAATAACCAACAACAAACCGTATAAGGGAAAAAATACGTCCAATATGAACAAGTAAGGCAGAATATCAGAGAACACGACTGGACCTATTACACCAATCTTCAAACTACTGACGAACAAGCGGATTATTCAACTGAGACTATTAGCAGAATGGTGAAACAGAATACGCGAAGCAAATGGATACGAAGACAAAAAACTAAAAGAAATAATTGGATCACAGTAGGACTTGTCCTTTCAATCAACACATTACATTGAGAAAACAAAATAGATATGCATAAGACCACGAAAAGAAAGAAATACATAGAATACAGGTCGGTAGCCAGGCGGATCGACGTGGGTGCTTTATTCACTCACTCGAATTGACTGTCATGTTGTTCGGTGGTTCAAGCTCTAGTCTGAACGATCGATTTTCACTTGCTATTGTCCAACCAGTGTTAGGAATCACACGTTAAAAAGTAAGACCTCTCTAATCCTTAGCTCGCACAAGTTTCGACTTCTAAGGGTTGTCGTTCGTAGGAGTGCGACAGCTGGTTAACGGAAAAACATATTTTAAACAGGGCTGATAGAAATAAACAGAGGTTCTATCACAATGAAATACAAAACAGTCAAAACATTCCAATAAAACTGTGGGAAATAGTCAACAACATCAACAGACCTGAAAAAGATCCACCTCAAGAAAGCTGAAGTACTATACTTAAAATCATGTACCACAAAAAAAATTACTATTCTTCTGATTAAATCTTCATTGACTCGAAGCTACTCGATATCAGACAAATATACATGTACAACTTAATCATGTATATCAACAAAAACAAAATGACACTTCGACCAATTAGACACGATTATAATACCCGCACTAAATCAAAGGGTGATGTACAAGTGAACGCAACAAAAAAAAATCCATTGGTCAACACTCATACAAATACCACAGTGGAAAATTCTTCAACTTCTTACTGGACTTGTACAAGACCTACATGTATACAATAAATAATATTAACTTACTCAAAAACGTCTTCAAAAAGTATGTACTCAATATTAATAAGGACATCGTTCATAACATTCCTATAAAAAAAGGTCGAAACATTCTTATTTTTGTGTTGATACACGAGAAGACTGTGACAGAATAATTGGCGAATATCGAGTACTTTGGTCTCGGTGTACAACAAATCAGATGAGAATCGTCTTGTTTTGTTGAATGTAATTTTTAAAAGAAATTCCTGTATAGTTTCAAGATTTCGTATCAAAAATGTATTTGCTCCTCACCAGACCTACGATTCCATATAATAAATGCGATTCCGTTAATGAATGGTAAATTATTTTCATTTGTTCAACTTTCAGGATATTGGATAAATATTTGAACTTATACAGTAAGTATCTCAGTTTTTTTATGATATTATTGATATGCGTTTCCCATTTCAAGTGACTATCTAAAAATACTCCTAAATATTCAATACTTTTTATAGACGAAATTTCAACTTGTGAAGTATTATGTAAGAGTAAGCTTATTATATTCTGGTAAATGACTTGCTTACGATGCGAATGGAATATAATAAGTTTCATCGTAGTTGATTGTTAGTAATTTTATATCAAACCAAGGTATAATTTTAGTAAAATCTCTCTCAACCTTAGCTTTCACGCCGTCCCACGATAAATCAGTATAAATAACAGCGGTATCGTCTGCGAAAGTTATTATTTTCCCTTCGGTTTCTAGTTCAAATGAATCGTTTAAGTAGATTATGAATAATATTGGCCCTAGAACCATCCCTTGAGGTACTCCATACTTTATATCAAAAGGGTCGCTGTAAATTTCTCCTATTTTCACAATTGCTTTCATAGAATCTCACTTAACGTATGGGATCGCGTTTTTGGGTTTTTGTAGTTCATATTTATTATTAAATGTATTTATTTCCTAGAAAAAAGCTTTGAGATATATCTTTAAAGTTGATCAAAAGTGCTCATGCAAAGAACCGTTCAAGCATCACAAAATCTTGACAGTCACAGCCGTTTATATACTTGAGTCTGAGGACCTTATACGTAAAAATATATTGCTCTCAAAAAGATCTCTAAATCATTACAATACGAGGAAAAGCACACTCTACAGGCTGCCGATACTCTGTAATGTCCTGATAAAAAGGTTCATTCATTTATAACGGGATCAAATTATACAAGTATCTTTCCAATACAATAAAGAACATTTGTTGCATCTTACGTTTTAGATATTCAATAAAAGACTTATGGATGATTACTTTCCTTATGTCCTTTATCAATATTAATACTTTTGATATTTTTATTATTCTTTTCAGACTCTCTCATGTGGTACTAGTAGGAGCTGTTCCCATATAATATTTTAATTATTTTTAAATGTGGGTTTATTTATTTAAAATATAGTTCTTATATATTTTTATTTTAATTTATATTCCACTATATTTTATATATTTAATGATAGCTATTCGCAAATAATATAGTGAACCCTTATTTTATCTTAATAACCTGTTGATTTACATTCTTCGATAAGAACATTGTTCTTCAGACATATCTCGATTGATTCAGATAATTGGCTTACCAATAATATCCTACGAATAATAATGCTGGAGTTGAAACGATCAACTGTACATATACCCAATCTCGGCTATACCAAGCTATAAGTGCCACGATTGCTTCTCCAATTGCAAAGAAATAGTTGAGGACTATAGCACTCGCTTCCCTATTCTTTTTTCCAGCCATCTCGACAACTGAAATCAGAAAGGATCAGTGATAAAAATAATTCAAATGATTTATTTTTTCAATTGTGAGTCAATATAGAATTGTTCACTGTGGAATAATTTTCATTAAATCAGTACTTTTTAGAAAAATCTTCAGTACAGTCCTATAGTATACTGAAGAAACATACGAAAACGATTTAAAAATACATTTTAGCAAATATAACAATGGGGATTAAAACTGACTCTTGAATGAGCGACACGTTCTGATTATTGTTGGAATGAACTGACATAGTTTAATTAGATTGCTAATCTGCACATATTATCAACCAGTCAAGGGGAAAACTTCCGAATAATATTTGTAGCCCTCGTGGTTCAATCCCCCAAGGAGGGATAGATGTTAACCTTAGAATCTTAAATGAAAAGGGGTGTCAAGTGGCACATCATTTCGATTGGCGTTCAATTCTGCTTCCAATGATACTCTGATGTTTTATATTTTGACGAGCAGTTTTCGAAAAATAGCGTTCTAAACTCACACATGCAATTAGAATTTGCCTGTTCTGAGATACATTACTGTATTGACTACTTTTAATTGAAATGGTTAGCAGAGTAGGTGTTGAATGACAGGAAAAAATGTATTACACTTTGGATTTTTCGTTTGTTGATTATTTCAAACATGAATCCATTTATGCTTATCTCATAAACTGTTCGAATTGTCGTCCATTTTGCTCTAAATAGTAATGAAGTCTGTTTTCGAACTCCCTTCTAACATTACGGAAAACTTCACTAAGAATTAACTGGCATGCTGCTGTAATTCGTCTTTTGAGTTTTAAAATAGCAGAAGGTTGTGTTTTATAAACAACGGATTCGAGATGCCCCTAAAGAAAGAAATCTGAGAGTGTTAAATCCAGTAATGTCGGAGGCCATTGCACTGCTCCCCTTCTTCCAATTCATCTGTCCGGAAAACTCTCGTTCAACCGCTGTCGGACGGGGAAAAATAATAAGGGGAGCACCGTCCCGCTGGAAATATAACAGATTCTCTTGCAAAAGTTCATTACCTTCTGCATCCATTTGAGTTTCTAGCTCGTAAGTTGTAACAGTATCGATAGTCTCTTCAAGCATTTCAAGGTACATATTGCCAGTCAAGTTTATTCCCAGAAATAATGGAATACTAATGGTATTTCCAAGAATACAAGCCCAAACATTCACTTTTTGTGGGCGTTGTGTATGCCCTTCCCGAAAAATATGTGGGTTTTCATCACTCCAATAGCGCCAATTTTGTCTATTAACATTGCCTTTCAGAAAAAATGAACATTCATCGCCGAAACAGATATTTAACAGAAGTTTAGAGATGGTATTGACTCGATGAGGCATGATTCCACAAAACTCTATTCTTCTATCATAATCATCCTTGCGGAGCTATTGAAAAATCTGCATTTTATGAGGATGAAATGTATGCATTTTCAATGCTTTTCTTAAAGTCTCGCGTGATATTCCTGTCTGTTCTGATACTGATCGTAAAGAGCTCGTGAGCTCTGCAGCAAATGTTCCCAAAACTTCAATTTGAGCTGCTTCATTTAGTACTCCGGGGTTATTTCTTTATTTATTTGTTACTGAACCAGTTTCATAACACGTATTCATGTAATAAAGCACTTACATTGAATGTTTTTCATTAAAAAGACATGCCGCCCTTCGTGCGCACTTTCCAACTTGCCCATAAATTACAATCATTTTAATTCTGCCTTGAAAAATGTAAACCATTTTCATACTTTTATACACTTATTAAAGTAATCACTAAACAGCCCAACAGGTACAACTGTATGCATAATACTACCACAAATTTGAGAAACACTTTTTTGCCTGAAAACAGAAACTTTTTATAGCAGAAGAAGCAAAAAAGGCGGCTATCTTTACACTTTCCGCGATATGAATTGAAAATTCAGCACAACACAACACAACTTTACTATCATCTACGTTTTATTATTAGACTACTTCTTGATGTAAATTAATTGAAGCTAATGGGTAATGTTATCTCTAATAAAGGATTGAAACGGTACCACTTAATATTCTTACAAGTTCTAGTCAAAGCATGCATCTCAGTATAGGCGTACTAATAATTACTTCTGTTGATTCAGAATGCTATTTTTTGGAAAATTCTGATCAGAAAATACTAAGTTAGGGTACCTTTGGAAGCAGAATTGAACGCCAATCAAAAAGATGTATCACTTGATCCCCTTCTTATTCAAAATTCTAAGGGTTACATCTACCCCTCTTAGGGGATTGAACCACGAGGGCTACAAATATTCCTCATATTGTTTACTGGAAGGAAGATATCGAGAGTGGGAAATTTTCAGATTGACACCCTGTATGTAAATCATAGAACTGCAGTGAGAAATAACAAAATGAAGATAATTGAGTTTCTATCATTTTATTTATTGAATCATAACTGAGGCTCTACATGGCAATCGTCAAAATATCCATCATCTAGGTATACTTTGGCACACATTTTATACTACAGAAATCTCATTCATACTTTTTGAAAAAAAAAATGGTATGTGCTCTGCTGTTTCATCATTATCTAAATAGAGGCTACTGTCTTCCGACAGTCCGAGTCTCTGCATAAGATGATTCAAATGACAGTGACTTGTAAGAAGGCCTGTTAGACATCATAGTTCATCCCTACTGTAATCCAACCTTGGAGTAAGTTAATCCTGGAAGATTCTGCCAGAAGTCCATAAATCTTCTTGACATCCAGGTGTTCAATCTTTGTTTGGCAAAGCATGAAGCGTTGCCAATGACATATTCTGGTCCGATAAAGCTGCTTGCAGCACCCTCCTTTGCAAGGGAGTTCAAAATCTGTTTGAATTCTGTTTTTTCCGTTAATCAGCTGTCGCCCCCATACGAACGACAACTCTCAGAAGTTGAGAAACTTGTGCGACGAGGTCTTACCTTTTAACTTGTGATTCCTAACACGGTTGCAGAATCATTCCAGCTTCAACCAGATAAATTATCTCGAGGAAAATATCTGGTCGAGGCAGGAAGCGAACCCACGGCTTTCCGATCGTGAGTCGGGCGCACTATCACCGCGGCCAATTCCACAACAGCGTCATTGCCTTCCAGGCCACTATTGCCAGGAATCCAGAGCAGAGACAATCTGTTAAGTCTTCCTATCGAGAAGAGTCGTTTTTGGCAATTTGCTACCAATTTAGACGTTGCTCGGTAGGAGCCAAGAGCTTACAACACCGCTTGACTGTCTAAGAATATTTTTATTGACTTGTGTATGAGGTTGGATTCTTCCAATCTCTCCCCACACAATTCTATAGCGTAAATTTCCGCTTGAAATACAGTCATTCGATCTAGTACAATGTATTATCTGATATTAGCCTGTTGCAATTTCGTCACTATCTATATTTTTCTTCAAGACGGGTACGATCCTTCCAAGTAGCTGTTCGGAATACACTCTTCTCCAGATATAAAAATATACGTTGATTCTTTGAGTTTACGTCTTTTGCAGTGGGGTTCTTCGTGAGGAAAGTGAGGAAATGCATTATTCTTGCCTATAATGGCTAGAAGTCGTAGATGCCTTAATTTGAATGAAATACTGGTACTGCCATTCTCGGAAAGAATGACACATGAAACCTTTTTTACAGAAGGTACAAATAGTCTAAGGATGAGAAATGAATATTTTGGTTCGACTGTGAATACAGCAAGCTGCAAAGTCTCTAAAGATCGATGGCAAGTATAGAATACGATTCTTATACAGTACATTCCATTTAAAACGCGCCACCCTGAATAACTTTTGGTACAATAATTCGCAGGAAAAATAAAAAAATACGTCCACCATAGTATACAGGGGGACATATTTCGACATATTCACATTTGATGTTACTTCCCCTATCGCACCCCCAGAGCATGTCACCAATTTATTTTTAATAGTTCACCCTATATTGTTTCACATTATCAGATGTTCCATGATGAGCATATTTCAACAAAGTATAGAATATATGGTCGGGAGCTTATGGTTGGGGAGCTACGCATTATTTGAGTTGAAACCGAGCCACCCTGGATAACTTTTGAAATAATGATTTGCAGGAAAAATAAAGAAACACTTACAAGAAACGCGATTTGCTACACGGTGGCTTCCTCAGAAAAACTGTTACATTAAACTTCTCTATATAAATATAAAATGCACTGTAGACTAGTGTAATGAAACAGTTCGACTGAGGAAGCTACTGTGTAGCGAAACACGACTTATTACTGTGAAAATGAATTCAATATCATAGATACTTCCTGTTCACACCTGGTAATTCTGAGCTTGCGGCCAACTGAGAGCTGGAATCCATTTTAGTTTCAATTCTCATTATCATTTGCTAACAAAAAACAGTTTATTCACTCCTTTTATTTACAGCGGTGATTTTCTGCATTACTGATACCTACCAAGGATATTGATACAGTATACAGTTTTTGTCAATTATATTCATAATATCATGTTTCATTGGAATTATGAGAGAATGTTTCGACTTTATTCGAAATTCTTTTCGGTGTATTAGTTAACGATATATTTTTTTAGTTTTTCTCTTTAACATTAAATTACTCACCTAGAACTAATGCTAAAGGGAAAACCCCCGCAGTGCCCACAGAATTCATGAAAATAAACAGAACAAAAGTCATATAATCAGGAGAGAGTACTTGAAGCGTACCAGTTACGCTCATTAGACATATACAGAAGATGAATATCAATTTTCTTCCAAACCTAGAAACAAAATGAAATTTTAATGATATTTACAATTACGCGTATATATTTAGGATTATCACTATATATTTTTCAATGAAAAGATTTGCGTCCGTTAGTTAGTAATAATTCACGTGTTATCTTTCGAACTGAATTGAAAAGCAAAAAAAAAATATACATAACATATTATTGAGAATGCGCAAGTGAGATCCTGTATAAATGTGAGAGAATCATCACGTTTATATACTTTTGATGATTCCAGAAGTTACTGTTCTAGTAGGAGTTCTAGTCGAAGAAATAGCAATTGATGTTAAAAACTATGAAGAGAATAATTTTTTCATCACTTTGATAGCACTGCAAATTCGCAAATACTTTCACTAGACAGCATAATGACCTTAATGGCCTTTTTAATGATAAGATATCAATAATAGGGTTAGAGTCTTTGTTTAAAATCATATTTGTTTATTACTAAAAGGAGAAAAACTTGAAGTGTCTTTGTCCTATCTCCATTAGTTCATGAGTTATTTTATTAACAATGATTGAGGGCCATGAGGAATTGCCAAATGCAAAAATAGAAAAAGATTAAAAAAATTGTAAAAAATAGAGAAAATGTTTTTACACAAAAAGTGACACATGGTTGTATTTTTCGTTTATCCAAGTGTCTAGAAGGTATGTGAATTTTTTTTCCTGATAATGATATTTAATGGGTTTTAATAAAGATCCGTATCCGTCCGTGCGCGTATCGCCCGCCTTTAGCGCTATTTTTGCCTTTGAATTAAAATTTTAAATATTGCTGAGAGTTCCAGAAGATGAAACTTTTTTTTCAGAAACATTCCTTCTCTTTAAGGATCTTTTTTCAAATTTCGGATATCTTTAATATTTTCCGAGATATTTGTAAAAAACCAAACCCCCCTTCTTGAGTAAATTCTTTATAAATGTTGCAATTTTTTGAGCCCTTCTTGAAGTTCTTCAAAAAGTTGGTAGAGGTCATTCCGAATCGAATGAGCCCTGGATCATAATTTTCGGTGCCCTTGGACAGAAGTTCCAGAAAAGTATTTTGTGACCCAGACTATGAGTAATTGCCAAGAGGAGCAATGGGTACATGGATTTGTTTTCTAAAATGTTTACCACCCTATATGAATTTGATGTATCATGTTAGAATTGTGGCCGCGGTGGTAGTGCGCCCGACTCACGATCGGAAGGTCGTGTGTTCGATTCTCGCCTCGACCAGATATTTTTCTCGAGAGTATTCATCTGGTTGAAGCGGGGATGATTCTGCCACCGTGTTAGGAATCACACGTTAAAAGGTAAGACCTCGTTAGTCTTCAGCTCGCACAAGTTTCTCAACTTCTGAGAGTTGTCTTTCGTATGGGGGCGACAGCTGATTACCGGAAAAACAGATTTTAAACAGAAATGAATTTTTTGCTTTAGATTAGAAGTTAATATTCATGGGAGATTCAAGAAACCAAATAATATACAAAGTGTGCCATTAAAAAGGCCATTAATGTCATTATGCTGTCTAGTGAAAGTATTTGCGAATTTGCAGTGCTATCAGAGTGATGAAAAAATTATTTTCTTCATAGTTTTGAAATTTTCGAACAATTTTCACAAAATTTTTCAAAAAGTTGCTAGGGGTCATTCTGAATCGAATGGGTCCTGGATCATAATTTTCGGTGCCCTTGGACAGATATCCAAAAAAAAGATCTTGTGACCAAGAGTTTCGCAGAATGTTTGAGACCAGGTGGTACCTTTCTGATTTCATCTCATACTGTAACTGGAAAATGAATATTTCGAAATAAAATCTCCAAATATTGCTGCAAGATTTCAGATTGCAATGGTTCTTCAAATTCTACCTGATATTTCATTTAACATTAACCAATTGTATATAAGAACTGTAGAACAGTGTCTGTACTATTACTACAGATGAAGCTACGGTTTTAGCAAAACGAGTCTAGAAAAAAAATTGTGAAAATTGCTCAATTACTATCACGGATAATGTTATTGATTTTCACCAAGTGACGGCTAGGTATATTCACGAAAGAAAGTAAAACAGGGACAGAATCGTAAATATGAAAATCACTGACCTTAGATTTCTGAAAAAAAAATTCATTATGTTTTCATAATTGAAAGAATAATGTAGATTCCAACATGAAGTTGCAATGTCGAAGTTTTGAGTGTAATAAAAACCCTAACAGTGACTAGATATATATTTTACATGATATTCATTCAAATGGAAATCCATCACGAATATAGAAAAACTAGTCAAGAGAAGACTGGATTTTGGAGTATAAAAAAATCACATGACGTCATTTTTTCACTACTATACAGTCTAAATAACAAATCAAATGATAGAGAGACTGCAGCTGCTGTGTTCTGTGACGTATATAAGGCGTTCGACTGTGTAAGTCATGGTACACTGTTTCGGAAACTTCAAAAGTGTAAGCCTCAATTGGTTTAAATCTTATTTATATGAGTGCAGTCAAATTGTTAAAACGACTGGTTATTCTGAGGAGGTTATTCTGAGGCTCAGTTCTTAGTCCACTATTATTCCTTCTGTATATTATCAATATTCTGACATTTATTAATATTGAAGGTGATGACACTGCAATCACATGGCATGATCGAAATCCCCCAAACTTGAAAAAAATGTGATATTAGCAAAATAAAAAAATGGTGTAACGCAAATCTCAGTTTTATTGTTTTTTTTTCTTTTCCGATTGATTCCGATTGATATTGATTTCATAAACTACACCTTACGATTTGATTTCCACAAACTTTATTTGAAAAATATATCACAACATGTTTCGCTAACACAGTAGCTTCCTTAACAGTGATTTGAATATTACAAGTTGCTTCTTGTATACCACAGCTACAACTATAATTGAGACTATCTCCATCGAATTACCTAAACCACTACAATTCTTATATACCTACCTGAGGTACCTCTTTAATTATGATCACCTGAAGCATATTACCTCACATATTACATCAATAATAATATTTCCTTCGTTTTTCAAGAAAACAAGTTCAATAATGGTGTTCAGTAATAATTTGAACTTGTTTTTTTATTAACATAGCTCATATGATGTTCCTGGATTCGATTCCTAAGTGTTGTGCCAGTTTGATCAATATATACCTCAGGACACGTTCCACACTTTAATTTATATACCTACCCCTGATTTCTCGAATTTGGATGTTTTGTCTTTATTATTTTCAACTAACTTTCCCAACGTATTACTTGTTCTATGTGCCAGTTCAATATCTTGTTTCCTCAAAAATGAAGTCACTTTTTCCGTTGTTTATCCAAAATACGTTGAAGCTCTATAATTTGATTGTCTAACTTATCAATAGGAAAAATGACTCGAATCCAAAAAATCTACGCAAAAGCGATTCGAGACGTTTTTCCTATTGATAAGTTAGATAATCAAAATCATCATTCAGTCAATCATTTTTGAGGAAACGAGATATTAAAATTGCATATAGAACAAGTAATACGTTGGGAAAGTTAGTTAAAAATAATAAAGACAAAACATCCAAATTCGTATATATCGGCCAAACTGGCAGAACATTTAGGAATAGAATCCAGGAACATGATATGGGCTATGTAAATAAGAAAACAAATTAAACATATTTAAATTATTTCTTTGAAGAAAATCATATCTTTAACGAAGACTTCAAAATTTCACACAAAGAAAATAAAGATTTGAAACTGAATCATTTGGAAGCAATGGAAATGATTAAACTTAAAAATTCAAACGTTCTAATGAATGATCAACTGGATTTGAATAGATCACCATTATTGCACTTTCTCAAAAAACGGAGGGAGAATTATTATTGATGTATAAGTGAGGTAATATGCTTCAGGTAATCATAAGGGAAGAGGTAGCCCAGGCATATAAGAATTGTAGAGGTTTAGGTAATTTGATGACGGTAGTCCCAATTGTAGTTACCTGTGGTATATAAATATTAGGGTAAGAAGCAACTTGTAGTATTCAAATCACTGTTGAAGAAGCTACTGTGTTAGCGAAACATGTCCTGATATATTTTATCAAATAAAGTTTGTGGAAATCAAATCGTCAGGTGTAGTTTATGAAATTTATTATATCTGTTCCATCAGCAATTTACAAGTTGACATCACCTTTGTTGTGAAAAAACTATCAACGAAATTTTTGGGACTGATTATTGACAGTGATTTTAAATTTTAAGACAATATTAGTTGTCTCAAATCAAAGTTATCTTCTGGATCTTAATAATTTGTTCATTAAATTGTTTCGAACAAATAGAGAAATTCTATATTTTTGAAAATTTTTTTTTGCTATTTTAAAGGATTTTCTTGTGAGAAAGCCTATTATACTCGCAATTCATCTGCTTTCTGTCTTTTTCTGCCAATTTTTGTTTTATGCACATATATTCAGTAACTACTTGAAATTTTATTCAACACACCAGCAATATATATTATTTTATAGTATATAGTTTTACCTAAGTAGCGATAACTATGTGTAATTTTGTTTTTAACCAAGCTTTGGAATTGAATAATTAAAAAAAAAATTGTTTTCAACTACACTTTATAAAGCGTAAATATTACCAATCAGCCAAAATTCCAGAGACCAAGGTGCCGACCAATATGCCTGCAAAATGTATTGTTCCAACAAGATATATTTTCCATTGATTCTCCAAACAGGTGATGTTGAACTGAAAAGAGTAAGAAAATTTAAATTATTTATGAACTGGCAATCAAAGATAGAGATTAATGGTTACAACTAGAGAACCTAATATCGTCAGATGTATTACGCATAACTCGGAGCAATATGAACGTAAGCTCTCTGTGGCCTGGATCAATCAACGCAAGTCTTCGGATTCAACATTCTATAAACCCCATCTTACAATCAATCAGAAGCCTTGTGGTAATCGAGAATATATCACTTGACACACTTGATAACACACTGGAAGACACGTGAATCGGCGATGTCACTGTACATGGATAACTCTAAACCTCTATAAAAAATTCTAGATGCAGGCATCCTGAGCTATCTGAAAACAAATAATCTTAGTGCAGCACACATTCCCCGGGTGAAGTATCAGCGCAAACTTTCATTTTTATCTCAGCTTTCATTTCAGCACAAATCTACTCATTTTTATCAGTTCATCAAGTCTTGGTGAGAACACGAATAAAATTATACACAAATTGAAAGCCTTTCCACCACGTCTATATGGGTAACCAAACACCCATAAAGAGAATATACCACTTAGATTTATCGTGAATACGATAGGTTCGTCAACTTATGAGCTTATGGTCCTGGAGACATTATAGTGAGCTTCGATGTGGTTTCCTTATACACGATGGTTCCGGACACGATACGGATAATTAGCGAAGTATTCACAGCATATATAACCACCCTCTTCGCTCATTGTTTATCAACAACTCATATCCAGTGGGACGGTGCTTCTTACGACTAAACGGATGGTACCGCGATGGGCAGTCCATTGAGTACGATGGAGGTAAACTTTTTCATCGTAAATTTCGAACAACGGGCCTTAGAGCAAGTGGGCGTGAAACTATATTGTTGGCTGATCTATGTTCATGATACGTTCGTGCAAGATGGTGAAGATACACTAAACAAATTTTTATCATATCCGTCTCGACCCAAAATGCAATTCACAATGCAACAAGAAACCCATCCTTCTTATAGTCTATTTCAAAAGAGTGTAGAGTAATAAATCATGAAGTGTCATAAAATTTGCCTGAATTTCGTTGTCGTCCATGGGCGTAGGCAAATCTTAGGATTATTAAACTTAATAATTAAAGTAAATTAAAAATTACAGACATAGATAATAATAAAAGGCCATTTTTGGGAAGTAATTTGGTCTAAAACTAAGTACCTACATGTATTTAGGTAAGTAAAATTTCTTAAAAAAAGATTAAGATTAATTTTAGTGGTTCTTGTAAACTTATTTAATATGCAATTTGGGTTCATATACTTGAGCATGATTTCTCAAAAAAGGGTTAACACTTAGTTCCGAGGTGCCATGTCATTATAATAATCCCTTTTTGACCCTGCCCACCAATCATGCAATACCTATTAAACNTAGTATTGTTCAAGTGTCAAATTGTAATAACGTATCCAGTAAAGTTCTTGTCGTTTTTGTGAATAAATTGATTTAAAGTCCCCACAAGTGTTTCAATACGTAAAGTTCGTTCGTGTGTGTTTGTGAGTATTTCCCGATTTCGGTTCGTATATATTTTATTGTTACATTTTATATTTTTTTAATAACACTGTTCTGCTGTATTAAATTTTTATTTCCTTTAATATAATTTTTATGAATGCATATTCTTTTGGCAATTATCCCACTAGCGCGCCTCTGGCTCAGTATTTATCCGTCGATAACAATGGACAAATCCCTTAAAACAGGGTGATACCTACCTGCTCTTTATGAAACGACATAATTTTGCAATGCGGACTAGGGAAGTGACAGAATTTATTGACGGATCACCCTGTAGCGCTTTTGAATACTTAATGAGATTTTATTACTCTACACTCTTTTGAAATAGACTATAGATGTTTTTGTGAACCGACGTGCAGATGGTACATAGTGTACAGAAAACCGACACACACAGACAGGTAGCTGAACAAAAACTCCAACCACGAGCCACAACAGAAGGGTAACTAAACTTTGGTCGAGAGAGCACGGCGTATTTGTGAACCTGCGAGCCTTCCTGAGCAAGTCAATGACCTGAAAAATGCCTTCAAAGGGAATGGGTACAGTGAAGGAGAACTAGAACGGGCCAAACGACCCTGGAGAGAGAACAGAGACAAAGTTTTCCTGCCCTATGTTGAAAAAGTTACAGGGAAAATCTTAGAGAAACACGACGTGAAACCAAAATGTAGGCCAACAAAAACTAAGGTCAGCTGAGAACCCCAGACAACTTTTAGCAACACTAGGGGTTCACCAGATTTCTTGTAACTACGGATCGGTCTACATTGGAATCACGAAAAGTGTGGGTACCTGTCTCTTTCTACAAGAGAAATTGTAGCCGAACATGCTCTCAACAAGGAAGGAACTCACATTATCCCATTCGAAGATACAGTAATGCTCCATGCAACTCAAAATCATTATGCAAGAGTATGTAGAGTGGCAGTAGAAATTCAGAAGTACAAGGATGATTTCAATAGAAAAGAAGTGGTAAAGAACATCAGTAGAAATCTGGCTATCTCTCCCTGGAGGTACACAAATTATGCCAGGTAATTCAATTGAGTTGAACCAAGCCACGTCTACTGATAATAACATAAAACCAGAGGCAAATACGAGCACCGTAGTTAATGCGGTCAAATCGACGGGAACAACAACTAGAGCACCAGTTTGGGCACTGCGACCTTTGCCACATCGCCTTCGATAATGTCTACCGCAGTAGTAGATGAACCGTCAGGCTTTCATACAGTAATCATATAACGGTTCAGATATTATTTATTAGTTTGAATATGAAATTGTATTCCTAAAATAGGTACCATATCGGATTGGAACACATGTACGCGGATAATTTTAGTGGCTTTAGTTAAAACATCATGTTTGAAGTTAATTTGATATTAATAACTGCCACTGCGATGGTTAACGTAAAATATCATTTTTTTCATAAAGATCGAAGTCAGTCACCAGAGCCCGTCGAGACGAGTTAGGGGGTCTCATCCCTCAGCCTTTGAGGCTGAGGAAGGTGGTCTAAATAGGAGATCATTTTGTTTCTGCGCGTGGTACGAAATTTAAGGAAAATCGGTAGTGAAATCGTAAACTGGTAATGGGTACAGGGAAGTTGAAAGTAAAAGTGTTGGTGCTGAAGACACACCGGGTCAACGACACCTACGGTTGACCATGAACCACCAAAGATGCGTTGTCTGAGTGTTCGTTTTTTTTAAATTGAATAGAACTGGCCGATACTTGATAAAAATCCATATTGAAAAACTAATCAATACAGTTTATTGTATGATTTTCACTATAAGGGTTTTACAAAAACCGCTACACGTGTTTCGCTATACAATAGCTTCTTCAAGCATAAACTTGAAGCGAAACACGAGTCGCTGTTTTTGTAAAACCCTTATAGTGAAAATCATCTCTCAACTCTCTCACTCTCTCTCAACATCAACCAGTTGATGTTGAGAGAGAGTGAACATATTATTTTGTCTGAGTTCATATTTGCAAAGAGGTTATATATTGTTGGATTCCTAGTGCGGGTTGTTTAGCTAGAGTTAATATTAAAATTACAAAAAAGGGCGCAAATTTGAAGTTATACACTACTCTCCCTAAAGTGAAAGTAAAACTGAAAGTATTTTGTACTGAGTTGGCTCAAAATGCCTGACAGTAGGTCACAGTGGTAGTAGCAGGTAGTAGGTTTTGTAATGTTCAATATCAATTTAATCTGTCATATACATACATTCTGATAGTAGGTAACATTGTGTAATAGACATGACCGATAGCATTTGGTTGATTAAGCTAAATATTTTTACTTAATGTAAAATGATCTCTTTTTTGTTTCTTAAAACTTCCAACTTTGAAGGCCTACCTGCCTGTATTGCTCTAGCGCCAGCATGTAAACTTCTATTTGCTCGGCGTGCAATAGAAGTAGGTTGGACTTTTATCTTTCTCGTTTTTTTTTTAATTACAAATGCTTGTGCAGATATTGGCAAACGACTCAATATTTTCAATAGTTTCAATTTTCTTAGCATTAAGGGCGTTACCACAACCCAGCAAAACGGCTCTTCGCTTATAAACGTCTTGTTCCATTCTCTTCAAAATGTGCCTTCTTCTCCATATTTGTTCTTTCTCCATATTTTTTTTTCTGCAGAGTTGAATATTTATGAAAGTTGTAATTGGAAAAAATTTTAACAGAAATATACAGAGAAAATTCTGTTTGAAAAGTAACTGCTGCTGACATTTTTTTGCTACCAGTATCAAATTTTTACTACTATTAAATAACTACTTTTTGGTGGATGAAGAACACTTTGCTACAACGGTTTTGCTGCTGTAATCTCCCTATCGTAGCAAACAATTTATCTCAATGTACGTACCTCCATTGTTTATACAAATGATAAATTGATCGTTTCATATGATTTATTAGTGTCAACTTATGGACATTTTTGGCCACGCTAGGAGTCATTCCTTCACTGAAGTTTTTTAAAATTGATCTTTCGTAGATGCGCTTACTCTTAGATAGCTATAGGCTTTTGCCACCGTAACTCTGTGACGATGCGTAAGATGCAACTGAAAGTTAGTAAATTAATATTGTTTTTATAATATTACAACTTCAAACAAACTCACTTCTACAATGGTGTTCAAGCCTTCCTTAAGCAAGGGATCCCTGCATCTTGAAAATTTGTTTTCATTTTTTACCTTAATAAAGATTTTGGCGCCGCAGTACCTGTTTCTTTTCCTAACGCTGGTTGTTTTTGTTTCCTCATTTTTAGTATTGTGCCGACAAATCCAATTTTTTCGATACTGTAGTTTTTTACTTCAGGATATGTTCTGTTCACAATTCACTCTGTGCAAGTAGCTTTAGAAAAGTTTTTAATACAATTTTTTGCAGTAATATCTACATCTCATTTGATGTTGGTTCTCAGAATGAAAATGTTTTGGTTGATGTCAATTATTCTGATATTACTATCAAACGTTTTTATAGCTTCAATTACAGTCTCTTCTCCGTCCTGATTCATATTGACAAGCCTACCTCCACAAAACAAACAAAATATGTGAAATAACTTTTCAAACTTGGACGTAGACGACTTACTGGCGCCATAGCAAATGAATAAATATGGTATGTGGATTGCAGCATAGCAACAAAAAACAGGAGAGATAATTAAAGCACGTGGCGTTGCACCCACTATCTAGGGAACGGAGTGTACATTTCCTAGCTCCTCAGCGCAACAAGTAGCTTTCACGGTGTGTTAAACTGCAACCCGTAGATGTTACACTGGTGATAGTTAAGTTGAATTTCACGAGGATTTCTCGGTTAAGAAATCTAATTATTGTTATTATCGTTTTGTACTTTTATTACATATTGCCGACGGTGCCGTTTTTATCCGTCAAAGAACTTTCGTTTTTGTGTTTCTCTCTTATCCAATACCTTGTCCGTTATTTAGAGTAATGCTATGAAAGTAATACTGTTAAGAGTCTTGGTACAGGGTATGTTTCTTTTGTAATACCTAGCAAAAGCCATGTATGATAATTTACATTATAATTTGGGAAGGGACAGAATTCTTTAATTCAGAATTGTTTAAACGCCAAATTTGTCTCATTTACAATATAACATTTTGGTCAGACTCAGAATGTTCATATTATATAAATACTATTCATCGGCGTGTTTTGAAAAGATGTACAGTCAGATATATTCATCACGTAGCTGAAAACTGCTCAGGATATAGATATGGGCCCATCAGTATTCCCGCCTTGAAATCGTGAGTTTTGTTAATTCGTCGCACGTGGGCGACTGTTACAAAGAACGGTTTGAGAAACGGGGGGACGAGAAATCCGTGATTTCTTCCTGTCTTTTTGAAAAGCAGAAAAGACAGAGAGTTCTGGGAGCTCTTTGCCTGAGGCGGCGGTCTCAGATTGGTGTGAAAGTGTTTTGAGAAGTGAGTACGCGTAAATTTTGAGGAGGTTGGAGTTTGAAGGGTACTCTCGACGGTCGGTCAAGGTATTTTGTTTTGGGAGATCGTTTTTCTGGGTTGAATCTTTGATTTTTGTTTAAATATTTTGAAAAGCAGGCGGTTTGCATGACTTTCGATAGTCTGACGTAAGAATAAAAAATCGTGTAAGGTTCGAGCGGAAATCGAGCAGTGTAGACGAGCAGGAAAAAGGCAGCGTTGAGTCAAATGTATATGTGTACTTACCATTTTATGATTTTGGAAAATAGTTAGCTTTAATAAATTTGTATACAAAGTGGACCTAATAATTGCGTCATAGTTATTTAGCAGTTAGAAATCATCAGCCAAGCTAGAGTATTTCGTCACTCTCGTATATTATAGTAATTTTCGGCGAAGGCACCTACTTTGAGCTTCATTTTCAAGGCTCTTATTTCAAAACCTACCACAATGACCTCTTGGAAGGAAGTATCTGCGAATTCTCAAGATCTGTCTCTGTGCAACAAAAGAACCCCTCTTCGTGCAGAAGGCCAAATTCAAGCCTCTTTCGAATATCTCTGACATCCAAAATTTGATGTGGAGAAATCCGCATCTGATGACACCAGCTGCCAAAATTAAGTCAACGTTATCACAGTGGTGACAGCTAAGTGGAATTTTATGAGGATTTCTCGGTTAAGAAATCTAATTCCAGACCATTTGTTTTCATTTGTTTTGGTACGTTATTACACTTTCTCACTTGGGGCTTCGTTCACGAGATGGAGCTGTTACTATTTCACATTCTTTTTCTTAGACGAAGGTTTAAAATATGCAGTCGGGCCCCAGGAACTTTGCTCTTTGTTTCGGATCTTTCTTGCACTGATGAGAGTTAATACTTCGAAACCGGTCTGTTGCGGGATGAACGACATACTGTGTATGAATGTCTGTTGGATATAATACCTTATCCAGCGTGGTATTAGTCGGGGAAGTAGTTGTTTTCCGGCAGGTATTTACCAAAACCTACGGTTTAGGTAGTTGGGAGAGATGAATATTTCAAAATTTTGTTTAAAAATATTAATTTTTTCATAAATAGTTCATACTTTGAAATTATTCAACTGCCAATCAACTACCATCTTCACTGGCACCAATGACTGGTCCAAATTTGTAATTTTGATTTATAAACATCAATTCGAACAGGAATTATGACTATTTGTTCTTTTTCGAAATTTTTAATATAGAGAATATAAAAAGTCCAACGTCTGAAGTCTAAATTATACGTTAAAAATAAAATTTGGAGATAGAGACCCAATTTTGAAGTTAAATGTGAGGCAAACGACAAATATCGAATTGATGAAGTGACACTTTGGTATTTCTGCTAACAGATCTGAAATATTGACACTGAGTTGACGGTTGAGTTGATGAAACAAAAATAATATCTTGAGACTTGTTAACCTAAAATAGTTTTTTTCGATTACTATATTCTTCTCACATCATTAACGACTGTCCTCTCGTTCTCGTCGAAAATCAGTTCCGAGCATGCTACAGTGGTATTCGTAAATGATTTTTCTGTACAAACAGTACTGTTGAACTCAGAAGATTCATTTTCATGAATATATCTTGAACAAGGATCAGTTTTTACTCCGATAACCTGGTCTTCGGAAATCTTATTAGGAATGGCCCATTTCATCCATGGCACGTTGTACGATGTATCGAGTTGATCCTCACACTCTGGTATGAGGCACCTGAAAATGGACATTTGTTTATTGTGAATGAAAATAAAGTCATCAGACAGTGCCAACAATAGTTCAACCTATGATGATATAAAAACAACCATGAAAACAATTTCAGGTTAACTACAGAGAACAGTTTCGTTTTATACGGACATATATTTGTTTGAAAATGTCCGTATAGGACGAAACCTGTACTGTTTCGTCTTATACGGACTGTTGTATAGAAACATAGTAGATTGTATTTCTCAAATACAGGATTATATGAGTTTCAGAATAATCTAAATATTTTTATATGATATATGGATAATTTCACATTTGACTGTATGCTCATATCAATTATTCTACTAGAGTTTTCAAATTCAATTATTTATAATTTGAAGAAATATATTTGAATTTTCAATACCTATTACCAAACTTAATGTTCACTGCTCATATTATTTACTTGTGTTTTCTTATTTTGTTAAATTTGTATCTTCA